TCTGTGTGAACTTGCAGATTGCTGGAGATTAGAGAATGTTTGAAAAAGATAGTTTGTTTTGCAAATCTCCTCCCAGCTGAGATGCGTAGTTATGAGGACTACTATGACTATGATTCAACCCCAGAATTTTCTGTGGATAGGTTAGTATGAATACAGACATATTACAAATCTGACAGTGCATATTGTTTTTTGTGATGTTTTACAGTATGTCTGCTGTGCTTTCACTTAGTAGTTATGGAGTAATAAACTGAAAAGAGTCAGATTTTTGTACCGATGTACAACTAAATGTCACATACTGATAGTTTAGTACTTGACTTGTAGCTAAGACAGCATGCACTGTTATCTAGAGTATTAATCTTTACTAAATTTAACACAGACCACTTTTGTGTAGTGTTTTTTTCCTAAACGTGAACTTTTCTACAAGCTAAATGAATGGTGCTAGAATATTCTATTTTAAAATACATTCTGAAGTATTTTTAGCTAAGAGAAACTGTAGTGTTTTGATTAGAAGGAATGCAATTTGCTTAAATATGCAACTAAAAATAAGTTCTAGTCCAGAAAAGCTTCAAAAAAGTGTATTTTGTGTTGAGAGAGCAATGTTTTGTAGCCTAGTCTGAGTTTTTACACTCGGGATGTTTTTGTTGTCGAGTTTTAGTCTCTGGGTGTAATTTACTGTCTCAGACCTAAACAGTCGGTTCAGTAGAAGAGAAGCATACCAACAGGAGGTGAGATTTCCTCAGGCTGAGGCCTTTTTTGAACTTCATGTCATAGGTAGGTGTTTAAAGTCTCTCAAAAGCAGTAGAAGGAAAATAACATTCTGTTGAGAGAAGGTGGTTTGCTATTTATTTTTAAATAGTCTGGATATTTCTGGCCGCGTGTTGGGTGTTCGCATGGCGTTTAGAATGTGGTATTATTTTGAGTTCTTTCCTCATCCTTTTCCTTCTTGCGAAGATTTTTTCTGTTTGCATATTTGCAAGCCTTAGGTAGTATATACCCTTTCAGTGAGGACAGTGTGAGCAATTTGTTTTGAGGACGGAAACAGGATTTCTGTTGTTCTTTCTGCCGCTCATGCCAATCTGTCACCTGTTGCCAAATTCATGCTAAATAGGTCATTCCAGCAGAAACTGTTGCATTAAGAAGCAAAGGACAAAGCCATGCTGGTGGTGTTACGTGTTTAAACAATCATAGAATCCTTTGGGTTGGAGAAGGCCTTTAAGATCATTGCACCCAACCGTTAATCCAGTACCGCCAAGTCCACCACTAAATCATGTCCCCAAGTGCCACCCCATGAATACCTCCAGGGGTAGTGCCTCAACCACTTTCCTGGGCAGTCTGTTCCAATGCCTGACAACCCCTTCTGTGAGGAACAGTATAGACCTCCCCTGGTGCAGCTTGAGGCCATTTCCTTCTGTCCTGTCACTAGTTATCCAGGAGACCGATCCCCACCTGGCTGCTGCCTTCTTTTAGGGAGTTGCAGGAAGCAATAAGGTCTCCCCAGAGCCTCCTTTACTCCAGGCTAGACACTCCCAGCTCCCTCAGTCTCTCCTCATCAGACTTGTGCTCCAGACCCTTCACCAGCTCTGTACCCTTCTCTGGACACACTCCAGCACCTCAATGCCTTGATTGTAGTGAGGGGCTCAGAGCTGAACACAGCACTAGAGGTGCAGCCTTACCAGTACTGAGTACCAGGGGATGATAATTTTCCTAGTTTTGCTGGCCACACTGTTTCTATCTGAATTCTAGGTAGGCAACATCACGCACACAAAGGGTCTTTCTGAACACTTTTATCACTTGGCCTGTTCTTCCTTGCTCAGAAGTGGTGTGTGAGTACAATGAGTAGCTATGCTTCTTCTGGTGTAACTGTAGTGAAAAGGAAGGCTACATCCTTCTTTAGCAGCAGCTTCACACTTAGATTGGATTAAGTGTAATGTGAAACCGTACCCGAAATAATTGGTTTTGTGCTGCTACAGGTTTTCATGGGGACATAAGAGTTTATTAAGGTGCATACATGCCTTCACAAGGAACCAGCTTTACCTGTTGCCCATGTTTTGAAATACATATGTTTTTCCTTTGAAACTGGTCTTATTTACATAAATCCGGAGCAAAGGTTGCTTAAGACCTTGTCTTTTGTTTCCTAATCTGGATGCCTCATCCTAGTATGTTGTTGCTACAGAATAGCTTGCTTCTTGCTGGCAGCTCACTCTGTATACACCCTCAGGCATTGAAGTAGAAGCCTGTGGAGTATGTGCCTGTCCATCTGAAGAACAGTAGTTGGTGCAGAAACCTAAAGGATGCTGCAGTCACAAAAGAGTGCCTTCATTTACTAGTGTTCATAAATAGAATCAGTGATGCTTGCACGCTCTAACTGCTCAGGGTTTTAATAAAAGATGGGTATTTTCTAAGGAGGTCTGTTTTTATGACACTGGTGAGCTCAAACCAAGCAGGTTCTTCAGTACAGTGATCTTCAGCATTGGTTTGAGAGGAAAAGAATCTCAGACACATCTGACCATATAGCAATGAGTCACCGCAGGCTCACAGGGGGCACAGCAAAAGTTCATGGTCATAACCTGAAGTTGAGTGAAGGGAAGACCTGGCATTTTGCTTTCCTTGCTGAAATGAAGGGCCCCCGTGGGTAGGGAAGAGTAGTGGAAGAGACTGATGCTGCCAGGCCAGGCCTCATACCCTGCAGGGATTTGTTTGTACTGGAGAAGAATGTTAGCAGAGAGTATACTTTCACCAAATCAAAAGTACTTCCATTTCACTAATTCATTTCACATCTGTGCCAAACTTACAAGTCATTCCCTAATCCTGTTTCAATGTTGTGGAGAATGCTAATAGGGATACTGCAAACTGGTGTGGATGATTCTTGCTGCAAAGGGTTAATTTTGTACCATGAGACAGGCTTAACCTTTACTTTTTGGGTTATGAGGACTTTTGGGTGGTGGTCCTTCTCACTGCTTATCATGGGTCACATGAGATTTGAGCAGGTACAGAGATGTGAAGAATGGATGGGTGTATGTTTTTTAACAGCCCAGCTGATGAAGCACATCAATTGGGAAAAACTGCTGTACAGAAAGCAATGTTGCTTACTAACCTTCATAGTCTGGTTTTTGCCGAGAGAGCATATGTTTTGTGCATAACAGAAGCCAACACAAAGCGTTTTTCTCTGGCAGCATATATGGTTTTGGTGATAGCAATGTAGTTGATTGAAATTAAAATCCCATTCATCCTGTGCAGGAGTCCTCAGTCTACTTGAAGGAATGGGACTTTGCCAAGCATTCTGAGCAATTTCGGGGGAGATACAGGCAGATCTATGCAACACCTTAATTCTGGAAAGATAATAGTTCATAGATATGAGGAAATATATGTGTTCAATAGTCTTTTAGTTCCAGTTCACAAATTATAAGCACCATGATAAAAAACAATTATAAACGTTATGTTATTTTTTCCATGAAGGAGAGGAAAATAAACAGTAAGAATGGCTGGTATGTTTTGTTGTTTGGGGGAGTGGGCATTGGATAGTGAGGACTTGGACAACTTTATGCAGTTTTAGGTGGAAAATTGCTGAATGTTACTTTCATTCTCTGTTGTCATTAGGGGACGTGTGTATATGCACAAAACTGCTAGGATTTTCAGTTTATTTTTGTTTGCTAGTTTAGTCACAAAAGTTGCAGAAGTTTAAAATACAGTAACAAACCTTATCTTACCCAACTATTTGAGGTTAATATCCGTGACAAGGCAGAGGTTTGCCAATTATGTGTTTCATCCATACTGAATGATAACTGTGCTTTACTTAAGTCACAACAGTTAAGCCTGCAGTGGAGTGACAAGACCTGGGTTTTCCTTCAGTGTTATTTGATATGTTTCAGCTTGACATTATGTAAATACTCTGCTATTAGGGAAGAAAATGACATAAAATTGCATCCTTTCTCAACAAGGTTTTAAGTTCTTTCTGTAGCTTCTCTCCTTTTTGAAGCTGTAATAAAGATCATAATTAGAATCCCAGTTGCTTAAGTGAGAAATTAGCATGTTCTTAAATGCTGAGCTGAGCCAGGTTCCCAGTGAGACCCCCTCCGGGTATCTGTCCTGCCCCAAAGCGCTTTCCCTAATACCAATTTACGTTCTAGACATATTAAAGAAAATCATATTCATTGCTACCTAGCAGTTAATCAGAGCCTTCAGATGGGCTTGAAATAATTTGCAGCCTGACTGCCAAAACCACCTGCATCCATTCATTTCCTACAGCCATACCCGGGTGTGCTCTAAAACTAATCAGAGTGTGTCAGTCTGCCCAGTACCAGGACTGAACAGATTCACTCTGTGCATGTCCTTCATTCTTAAAATGTGTCCCAAATACTACTTAACCCCACTGCAGACCTCTTACCTTTCTGTCTTCTAGGCTGTGGCTAAGCAAACAAAAATTTAATGGCTTTAACCTGATGTTTTCTCGTCAAAAATATCTTTTCCTAAAGGTTTTGTTTTTGTAGAACTGGGTGCTATCATATATACCTTATCTATTAATATCTATTTTATAATGGAAATAAGATTCTAGCAGATTGGAATAAATTAAAACCTAATTGGGGCTAAAATAAACCTAATTTGTAAATTTAATTAAAAACAGAACACTAACACTTAACAGAAAAAGATATTTTCATGGTACAAAATACAGATTTAATTTCCAAATAAGCGGATGGTAAACTGTAATTGTATGATGTGCAAGAAAACATTCAGAACATATGAAATAGTAGTCACAGATTTTGCAGTCAAGATGTTCCCTTTCTGGTTTTCCAAATTGTAGCAGAAAACACCAAAGGGTAAAACAACTACAATACTGTTTTCACAATTGACCCAACTATGGATATGATACTGGTGGGAGATGGATTCAGATCTCTGTCTCTCTCTCTTCCCCCCCTTTTTTTTTTAATGGTGAATTTTTATTTCTCACATCTCCTGCAAGAAGTTCTGCCTAACATGCTTTTGATATGCTCTTGTTTCCACAGGCCAAGGCTGCAAGCACAAAGGAAGTTTGCTCAGTCCCAGCCAAACAGTCCCAGCACAACTCCAATAAAAATAGTGGAGCCGTTGTTACCCCCTCCTGCCACTCAGATTTCTGACCTCTCCAAAAGGAAGCCCAAGACAGAAGATTTTCTCACTTTCCTCTGTCTTCGAGGTAGGTGTCTTGCAGCAGCCTTGGGGGACAGTCTCATTCACAGAATGAGCTGTAGTGGATAGACAAATGTACTGGTGCTATGCTTGAATGTAGTGTGCATTTCGACTCAGCAATTTGACTGTACCTGCAGCAGGAGTATTCGAGTTCATGGTTCTAAAGATCCTAAAATGAGGCTGGTAATAGTGCAAAAGGAAATTTCTTTTATGCTTGGCACTCTGTTATCCTGAATAGGTTTTTGTCTAGCTCTCTAAAGTCCTCCTCATCCTCCTTTGTTTTGTCTGACTATAAACTGAAGAAGTGCTTAACTTGCCTGAGTACTTGTTCCTGCAAGAGGAGAAATCTAGTTGGAAATTCCCCTTTTCTACCTACTCACTGTCCTTTATTGTTCAATGTGAGTGCGACTTTTCATCTCACAAGGGGTGGAGGGTTTGCCATTATTCTTGGCTGCCTCAGGAGCCACATTGTTCCTGTGGTGATAATTAAAACAGGTGAGCTCCTCTGTTCTGCAACCCAAGTACAAATGAGGCATCTGAAATTGTAGAGTGAGATACCTGAATTAGCTCACAGTAACAGGTGCCTGAGCCTGACTGGAGCTGTATGGCATGTCTGGGATCACTGAGTTGTGTCTGCAAGCCTGCATGTCAGGCTTGGGGACCTGAGTGTGAGGTACAGCTGACTGTCTAGATTAAGCTAAAGAAAGAGATTTTACCTGAGTGGTCATTTTTCTTTGGACTTTCCATGGCCATGTGTCCCAAGTCATGTATTGACGACAGTTTAATCTCCCAGTTGTTGTATTAGCTCCTGTGGTATGTTTCTCTTCTGACAGCTCTGCCTCCCCATCCCTCTAGTTAGTCACTGCTCTGACCTTGATATGCAGGAATTACGCCTCTTGATGTTGTTTTGTCCTGTTACCTGCTGAAAGGGTGTGCATTTGTTACAGACAGGGCTTGTGTGCAAAAAGTCTTATCTAGTGGGTTGAATCTGTCAAAGCTTGTGTTTGAGTTGCCTTTCCTAGTGCTGAGGTCTCTGTCACATCTGTGACCACCCGTATCTTCTGCTGAGGCTTTCTCACTTCAATGCAGCATGGTTTGTTTTCTTTTTTTCTTCTTTTCTGTGAGGTTTTAGGCTAGTGGTACCTTTAGACTGGTTGGTAATTTATCTGTCTTGATTCACATCCAGTATGGAACCTCCACCCTGTTGGGACTTCCGGTAAAGTTGATGGGTGGAGGGGATAGAGCTGGGTGATTTGCTAGTTTTTGCGTTTGTTTAAAGGATTGCGAGGAGCAGAATCTAATGGAGTTTAAAGTGGCATCACGGTCCTCTGAAATTTAATCTGTGGAAATGTATTTCTAATTTAGTGTGCTGTGAGGTTGATCAGTCTGTTGGCAGCATGTCACTGCTGTGATCTGGGCCAACTGCCACAGTTGTTGGTGGGAAAATTCAGATGGGGGTTGTGTGTGTGTATGTGCGTGAGCACACATGGCTGCATTCACACACTTGTTTCCACTGCTTGCTAACTAAGCATGTGTTATTTATAGCTTTGAAGGCACTTGCACTTACAGAAAGGCAACTTATGCGAGGACGTCACTTATCTCCATTTTTATTTCCTACTGTTTTAGGATTCTGCTGTAACAATGCAAATGGAAAATATGGGTACTTTTGTCCTATTCCAGTGCTTCATGTTGTTGGTGTTTTGTGGTGGTGTGTTTTTTTTTTTTTTAATATTTTAATTAATGGCTGTTTAGCTCTTGCACCTGTAATTTTCTTCTTTGTTATTCATCTGTGGCATAATTGATGTTTTGTACTGTCAATTAAGAACTTGCAATTCATTCCTAATTTCTTCAGTGTGCAGTAGTGCTCATGTATTTCAGACAACACGTGCATTCAGACGGCAAGATCACGATTATGGTTATGTTAAAAACCACAAGGGAAAATCTGCTCTGAGTGCCACACATGGCATGTTCTTGGTCTGCTTAAACAGGCTGAAAAATAGTAGAAAGGGGAAGCTGTCAGCTTTGTGTTTCAGCACCTCCACAAGCTTATTGCTCCATCACCCTTGTATAAAGCGTGAAAAGAGCCAGTAACAAAGAGGCAGGGAAATCTTCTTGGACATGTGCTACTTGGATGCTCCTCTGGAGGAGCAGGGGAGTGCTGTGGCTTGGAGGGAGAAGGAGTAGGGGTGCTCAAATCAGTTTTAGCATGGCTCTGGCTTCTGTGTCTGAACTGCTGTGTCATTCAGGAGGTCCTGGCTACCTGAGATCATGCTCGTTTGCTCTCCTGAGAGGTTTAGCTCCAGGTGGTTGTCTCTTTAGATGTGCCTGTTGGGAAAAAAAAAAGGAGGTGGAAGCTGGTTCTTAATATGCTTGCAGGGAATTAGTGTAGCACCCTGCTGGTGCATCCAGCTCCAGAAATATTCCTTGAGTGACTTTCCTGGGCACTAACAAGGCTTAGTTCAGTGTTACTCTTCTGGTGATACCTAGTGAGCTTGGAGAGAGAAGAGCCAGCAACTTGGTTAAACTCTGCATAGGGAAGACTTGTGAATTTTTAAAATGGATTTGTTTTGATTTGGAACCTCTGTGCTATTGTATATTGAAGTGCTGAGGGATTCAAAATTGTTCACATGGTAGGACATGTGCTTGTTCTGACTTCTCCCCATATGTGTCTGTCCAGCCCTGGCTGTTTGCACTTTCATGATGAAACGTGACATGCCAACTGCATGGAAATAAGAGCACACTCACAGGGTCTAAGTTCTGCGCTTCGAAAATTGTACATGTAGTAGTGATAAGATCCAGAGCAGTAAATCCCCATGTTTTGTTTATTTTGTTGGATCTTTTTAAAGTTAGGACTATCTTAGGTTTTAGTCCTTCAAAATGCTCTGGTGGTATAGTTCCTGCATTTCCAATCAAAGCTTTTTTTTTTGGCCAGGGAGTCTTCTCCAAGGCCAGCAGGAAAGCAGCTTTGTGATCTTGTCTCTGTCCTTGTCCCACCACACCCAAGAGCAGTGTCAGAAGCACAGTGTAAATTCATCACACCATAGAATCATAAGTTATTAAAGTTGGAAAAGACCTCCAAGATTATGCAGTCCAGCCTTTGACCGAATACCCCCATGTCAGTGTATACTTTCATTCTGTGTTTTTAAACAGAGAAACTTAAAAATCCCATCAGCACTGAAGTTCACTCTTCATTGATCTTAGGGATTTTGTGTTAAGTGGGAGCAGCTGAATTCTGTGAGTGATGGAGCAGTATTATCATGCAGCAGTGTGGAAGAAAGGCCCCTGACATGCGTAAGGTCCCATACTTAAGAGAAGAAGTCCCACTTACCTGTCTGCTGTGTGTAAGAAAATTGAATTGGAAAAAATGGAGTGATTAAAATAATTTATATTTCCCTTCCCTCCCCCTCTCTTTAGCATCCTGTAGTTTCAAAGGAAAATCATGTAACCAAGATGACCTGCTTGGTTTCATTATCCAGAATACTAAAGCTTTAGACATATTTTAAATTAGTTTGTTTTTAAACTCCTGATTTGATAATACAGTGTACTAATTACTTCTTAAAAGGTAAGTGGAGCAGAATGAAAAAGCTGTAACAGTTGATGAATATCTGAGCACTCTGGAATACATCTCACTGACCTGACTTGGCAAGGTGCCTCTGCTTTCTACTATTCTAAAATCCTCCTTTATAAAAAAAAGTTTGTTTCATTTTGTATATTATTAAATTGTGACCTAGAATTTCCAACACAAGAAGGAAGGGAATAGCACAGATATCTCTGAAGTGTTTGTCTGCAGTGTTCTTATCTTTAAATAGCTTCTTTGAAGGAGCCTGTATGCCCTTTGCCAGAGGCATAATTAGTATCTTTCCGCAGTGTGTAGATACCAGTGTGTCATCTCTGTGTAGTTGTACAACGGCTTCCACTTTTACTCTATTTTCTGCCTCTGATCATATTTTTCTTAATAGCTTCTGTTACAGTGCATTTAAGTTACCTTTGTTCTCTGTAATTATTTACAGGTTAAAATATTGCCAGTCGAATAATATCAGGCTAAAGGAGGAAGGAGAAACAAGTCCCTGTGAGCAATAGATCTTTGGCAAAAGGTGATAACAGGAAGGCTGTGATTAGGAGACTACATTTTAAGAAGTTTTCCCATGATCAACTTTCTAATTAAGCCAAGCCTCTGGGAGTTACATGCTAGAGAATTTCAGGGCTTCCTAAATAAAGATGGTTTAATTGAGATCTCACAAATTGAGTTTTCAGGCTCTTCTATTCTGCAAAACGTGTGATTGTTCGTTTTCTTTGAGTACTGCACTGACTTAATGATCTGATGATTTATTACAATTGGGCAAAATCAAAGTAGAAAATTTCACTGTAGCACGTTTGCCTGAACTTCAGTAACTTTTAACTCTCGGTGTCCCAGTCCTCTCACAGTTTGTTCTTAAACAGGTTTCTTATTCTTTTTCACACCTGTGTTTGGGTGGTAGGCTTGTGTGCCTTTGATCTCAGTCTTCTTTTGAGTCTTGATAGGAGAGGTTGACTGTGTCAGTAGATATATGCAGAGATTTTCCTTTACAAGGGGAGAGCCCCCCAAACCAAAAACTTGGGAGCTCTTAATTTTGGACTTGATAGAACTATTAATTTGCATAGCTTTTAACAAGGCAGGAGGTATGTTTGCCTCGTAGTTAAGTATCAGTAGGTACACTGGACTTCCAGAGCTGGTGATGGCATCAGTCACGTTCCTGAAGCACCAGCCTTCTATTGCCACCGTGGAGACATGCTCACCATGTCAGAGTAAGCAGATTGAATAGCACAGCAACTTGGTTAGGCTGGAAGCAAAGCGGCGAAATGCTGATATTCTTCAAAATTGTGAGCCAAGATCTTTGCAGTCTGGGTTAGTTTTTATAATGCCAAAATAATATTAAGACATTCAAGCATACAATAATTTGTTTCAGATAGTGGAAGAAGAATTGCTGTTGATAGTGTTAAGAAATCATTTATTATTTGAAACTAAAA